CCCCTGCCCTCCTCCCTTCCCTCCCCTGCCTCCTCATCCCTCGCCTGTGCTCCCTGCCTCCCACCAGAACCTTGCCTCCCTGTCCCCTCACCTCCCTGTCCCCTCACCTCTCTCCCACCAGAACCTGTGTGTGACGGCGGCATATCAGCCCATGAAGGAGATTCTCAAACAAGAGGAGCCCTTCCCTCCCGTGCCCTCCACTCCTGTCCCCTCCCCTCTGCTGCCCTCCTGTCCCCTCACCTCCCCTTGCCTCTTCCCACCAGACCCTGTGTGTGACGGCGGCATCAGCCCATGAAGGAGATTCTCAAACAAGAGGAGCCCTTCCCTCCGTGCCCTCCACTCCTGTCCCCTCCCCTCCGCTGCCCTCTGTCCCCTCACCTCCCCTTGCCTCTCTCCCACCAGAACCTGTGTGTGACGGCGGCATATCAGCCCATGAAGGAGATTCTCAAACAAGAGGAGCCCTTCCCTCCCGTGCCCTCCACTCCTGTCCCCTCCCCTCCGCTGCCCTCCTGCCCCCTCACCTCCCCTTGCCTCTCTCCCACCAGAACCTGTGTGCGACGGCGGCATATCATCCCATGAAGGAGATTCTCAAACAAGAGGAGCCCTTCCCTCCCGTGCCTCCACTCCTGTCCCCTCCCCTCGGCTGCCCTCCTGTCCCCTCACCTCCCCTTGCCTCTCTCCCACCAGAACCTGTGTGTGACGGCGGCATATCAGCCCATGAAGGAGATTCTCAAACAAGAGGAGCCCTTCCCTCCCGTGTGCCCTCCACTCCTGTCCCCTCCCCTCCGCTGCCCTCCTGTCCCTCACCTCCCCTTGCCTCTCTCCCACCAGAACCTGTGTGTGACGGCGGCATATCAGCCCATGAAGGAGATTCTCAAACAAGAGGAGCCCTTCCCTCCCGTGCCCTCCACTCCTGTCCCCTCCCCTCCGCTTGCCTCCTGTCCCCTCACCTCCCCTTGCCTCTCTCCCACCAGAACCTGTGTGTGACGGCGGCATATCAGCCCATGAAGGAGATTCTCAAACAAGAGGAGCCCTTCCCTCCCGTGCCCTCCACTTCCTGTCCCTCCCCTCCGCTGCCTCCTGTCCCCTCACCTCCCCTTGCCTCGCTCCCACCAGAACCTGTGTGTGACAGCGGCATATCAGCCTATTAAGGAGATTCTCAAAACAGAGGAGCCTTCCCTCCCGTGCCCTCCACTCCTGTCCCCTCCCCTCCGCTGCCCTCCTGTCCCCTCACCTCCCTTGCCTTCTCCCACCAGAACCTGTGTGTGACGGCGGCATATCAGCCCATGAAGGAGATTCTCAAACAAGAGGAGCCCTTCCCTCCCGTGCCCTCCACTCCTGTCCCCTCCCCTCCGCTGCCCTCCTGTCCCCTCACCTCCCCTTGCCTCTCTCCCACCAGAACCTGTGTGTGACAGCGGCATATCAGCCTATTAAGGAGATTCTCAAACAAGAGGAGGAGGAGAAGGTGAGAAAGAGGAGAATGTGAGGAGGAGGAAGAAGTGAGGCGAATTGCAATTCGTATTATGGTCACCATCGTGCTTCTGACTTTGCTATTGCATTTCATAAATCTTCAAAAGATAGCAGAGTATATGGTCTCTACTCTGTTGTTTTTTTAAGATCTACCTCAACTTCCGGCTTTTGTTCTTGCCAAACCCTTTTTAAACAGAAGAGGCTGCAGCTGGAGGAAGCTTCTAAGAAGGCGGACAGCTCAAGTGCAGCAGCAGGAGTAGTGCAACCACCACCACCAGCTGCTGCTGGAGCAGCTACTGGTGGGAGCAGTGAGGGAGGTGAAGGAGATGCAGCAGCAGCAGCAGCAGCAACAACAACAGGTGAACCTGACGGTTTACCAGGAAAGCCCAGCCAAGACAGTCAGCGTGGCTCTGTTGCTACTGTTGCTGCTGCTCCTGTTACCTCTGATGCCACTTCAGCACCTGCTGACGCCACTTCAGCACCTGCTGACGCCACTTCAGCACCTGCTGACGCCACTTCAGCACCTGCTGACGCCACTTCTGCACAGCAGCAGAGAAGGAGGGTGGCAAGGGCAGTTTGCAAAGTGAGCTGCCGGGCGAGCAGCAGGGTTTGCAAAAAGATGTGTCAAGACCTGTTGAAGCGGTGAAGGTTTCTGTGGTGTCAAACAGTGATTTTACACAGGGTCAAGCTGCAGAGGGCGGCGATGGTGTGAGCGGCACTGTTGTGGGCGGCACTGGTTTGGTGGCAGTGAGGTGGACGGCAAGAGGGTTCTGTTCATTGAGGGCGATGAGGCTGGGGAGAACAGCTGCTTGGAGGTTGCTTGTAATGGAGGTGCTTCTAACGAGGGCGTGTGCAGGGGTGAGGTGGATGGTGAATGCAAGGAAGAATCGGGAACGGCAGAGAAAAGAGAAGGGGAGGGAAGGGAGGACAGGAGGGTGTGAGTGTGAAGAGTTGTGAGAATGGCGGTGGTACTGTGAAAAAGGGAGAGGATGAACAGATTGGTTGCAATGAAGGAAGGCGAAGGTGGGGCCTGTGTTGGAGAGGTGATTATAATGAACGGCACTGTACCGAACTCCTCTGAAGTAGACGGTGCAATAGCGAGTGACCATTCGATGAATGGCGTGTCAGAGAGTGTGACTGCAGGTGGTGTGACTGAAGAGAATGCTATATGCAGGAAAGACGCATGGTCAGGTGAGGGGGGCGCAGAGAGAAGGACAAGAAAGAGGAGAGTGCGGAGGTGCGAGGAGGGGGAGCGGCAGAGGCAGCAGAAGATCGGAGCATGGAAGGAGGAGTGGCAGAGCAATTGCGGGCGGATGAGGGACAAGCTAATGGGGGTGAATCTGCCGCAGCTGAGGCTGGGAGCGACAGGGACAGCGGGAATGGGAGGGCTGCAGGGGATGATTGTGCTGTGATGGCAGAAAACAGTGTGGTTTCTGGGAACGATACAGTTGCAGGGAAGATTGAAAGTGAAGGGGTTGCTGAAGGGAAAGAGGCTGCATCTGCAGAGCTACCAGGGGAAGAAGCAGGTGTAAAAGCTGGTTCACGGGGTAACAAGGACGAAGGAGATGAGAAGGGGCGGAGTGAGAAGGTGGAGGGAAGGGAGGGAGAAGCCGAGGAGGCAGCAGAAGAAGCAACAAAGGAGGCAGAAGAGGAGGCAGCAGAGGAGGCAGCAGAAGAAGCAACAAAGGAGGCAGAAGAGGAGGCAGCAGAGGAGGCAGCAGAAGAAGCAACAAAGGAGGCAGCAGAGGAGGCAGCAGAGGAGGCAGAAAAGGAGGCAGAAAAGGAGGCAGAAGAGGAGGCGCTAGTGAGGGGCATAGTGGAGGATATCTTGAGGCGGGGTGCTGACAGCGCCAGCGGCTCCTCTGCTGACCTGTGCGCTGACATGGCAGCTGCGCTTGCGATGGTCAAGGAGATCACACGTGAGGACGACACGTCAGCAACAGATGCCGAGCAAAAAGGAGGTAATTCAGGCACAGAGGGGCAAGGCAAAGCTGGCGATAAAAGCGCAGGTGAAGGTGAATCAGAGAATAGAGATGTGGTTGGCATCCGTGGAGGTGAAGGTGAAGGCAGTATTATGAGAGACACCTCAGGGGAGGCCCAAAGACAAGGGCAGTGGCAGTCACAAGCACCGGATCCCACGACTTCTCTCCCTCGCCCTCGCAGCGTCTCGCTCCTCCAATTAGCCGAGGACAGCTGGCGCGAGCGCACTGGTGCCGGCCTGTCAGGGCTGGGCAACGCAGGAGCAGGCGGTGCTGCTGGCAGCGGCAGCGGTGCTGGCAGTGCCGGTGGTGGTAACCGCGTGTTACGGCTGCGGCCAATCACGATGGCGGACATGCGGGCGGCAAAGCAGCAGGTGGCGCCGAGCACGGCGGGGGACAGCAGCAGCATGGCGGAGCTCAGGCAGTGGAACGACCTCTATGGGGAGGGCGGCTCTCGCAAGAAGGAAAAGCTCTCCTACTTCCTCTGAGGCACTGCTAGAAGGTGACTTTTGCGTCGACTCAAAGGCCACGGCGGGGGACAGCAGCAGCATGGCGGTGCTCAGGCTGTGGAACGACCTCTATGGGGAGGGCGGCTCTCGCAAGATGGAGAAACTCTCCTACTTCCTGTGAGGCGCCGCTAAGGTGCCCCCACTTACTCTGATAAGGTGGAAAATCTCTGTTTCCTTGGCTCTATGTTGGTTCTTGAGGTGCATGAGAACGGGACAGCTTTGGCTCTGCTTCCCGCAGACTCCATCCCGCTGTGCTTTCTCTGACTTGCACGTTCCCTGCAGTGCATACGCATGCTGCATGCGAAGCGAACGAGCTCAACAGCGTGTTTCAGCTAGCTGGAGTCTAGAGATCAGTCAACGAAGTTGTTGGAATGAGAGCTTTGATACGGTACATCTTTACAATATAGAGAGAATCAACTGCTGGCAATGCGGAGGAGATGGTGGGTTGATTGGTGCAACACTCTGTATAGATCACACGTATGAAGCATGCTGACGCAGGTAGGCACATTCAGTTAGATTTGCTGTCGTGATTCTCCTGTGTGTTCTATTCAGTAACAATCACCTATGGAAGAGACTGTTTGACTTCAAATGCAATGTATCATGTGGTAAAAAATGTGACTTGGCTCATTGCCCCACCAACCAATTTGCCAAATTACTACGTACATTCCCTAAACATGCTTAGCATCATAGGGATGATAGTAGACCTAAACAATGAAGTAGTTACTATACAAGACTAACCTAATCAATGCTGCCAGCCACACCAGTAGCATTTACCTGCACCCGATGCTCTCTCACCACTCCAGTTGCCGCATGTCAGTCTTCACAGCCACCAACAAGGCCTCATTGCACCCACTCGTGCCCTCACATTGCCAATTTTCCCCTCAGATTTTACACTGCCAACTCTCTCCTGCCACCTCATATCTATTTCAGAACACACAGATGTAGCCAGGACGTTTCTCCGCTCCGCAGCAACAGCCTTCACCGCAAGAGCTCCCGCATTGTCTGACTTGGAACCGGCTGCTGCTTTTCTCGAGGCTGAATTCTTCTCTGCAAGCAACATTGCTGCGCCAGCAAGCAAAAGAGCTGTGCCAGCAAGCAACAGAGCTGGGCCTGCAAGCAACATTGCTGTGCTGAGCCTGCAAACAACAGCACTGCAGCGGCAAGTGACAGAGCCGTGCCTGCAGTAGGACCCATTGCCGCACCCATGCCAGGGTCCACTGCAGCACCCACATCAGCATTCATCACAGCACCCGCGTCAGCATCAACGAAAACACCCACGTCAGCATCAACCGCTCCACCCACATCAGCATTCATTGCAGCACCCACGTCAGCATCAACCGCAACATCCACGCCAGCAGCAACCGCAAAACCCACGTCAGCATCCAGCGCAGCAGCCAGGTCAGCATCCACCGCAACGCCCATGTCAGCAGCCACTCCTGTAGACACGATCGCTGCCGTTCCTGAGCAACCATTTCCGCCCTTCTTCAAGTTACTGTAAACGCCACTGAGCACTTCTCTCGTAACGTTTGCCCAAGTCAACCCAAAGCTGAACTGACTGCTGAAGTCGATGTATTCTCCAGTGGAGTAGAGCCTGTGGTAAATAATACTCCCCTCAACAGCACTGGTGCTGAAGCTGCTGCTTAGCCTGCTCTCAGTCCGTGACGACATATCAGAAGAATCACCTGCAGAATCGTTAGAATCCCGTTCACCCTCAGCGAGGCCCTCAGTAGGACCGGAATGATCCACTGAGGCCTCAGAGGAGAACCCTGCAGCATCATCAGACGTTTCTGCTGCCACGACACAGCCCTCTGTAGCCTCGGATGACTCCTCTGCAGCATAGTATGAGTACCAGGCGGCCTCATTCCACACCCCCTCCTCCTCTGCAGCCGAATAGGAAGGTGAAAAGGTTATAACAGGTTGAATCGGCATCTGTAAAAGTGCTTCACGGTTTCTAAAGAATGCGAGGGCTTCAGAGAAAGTTGGGTAGTCGTTAGCATAAGCCATGAAAAGCTAGCTAAGGTCTCAAGATAAGAACCGAGGTACAAAACCGAGAATAGCTCAAGATAACTGGGAGGACACACACTGAGATTGTGGAGAAGAACTTTGAAAATGACTGGGCCTGGTGTTGAGACTTTCTAGGCGAGCAAAAACAATGAGCATAACGGAGTGGGAGGAGGGCTGTGGGGAAGAGGAAGAGAGGGGACAGGTTCGGAACAGCTGGACTCGTGGAACCGCTGTAGGTCTGCATGCTCCGGGACTTTCTGAGTGTTGCTTTGGCATGTTGGCCCGGATCGGAGTAAAAAAAAAAGGGCAGCAAACGGAACGAATGGGTTGGCTGATCGACTCTCACGTAGGATTCGAACAAGGCTGCGGCGCGAAAATATTGTGTTCCGCTGCCCTCGAGATCGGGATTTCTGCCTCGGTATGCATTCCGAGCCTCCCCGCGACAGATCAGGCGGCTCGGGCCAGATGAATGCACAGCGAGCTCCCAAGGCTGCATATTTTTCCCAGTGGGCAGAATGTGGAACCACGGATTCAACGGAAACACGCGAATCGATCTCTTTCAACTGCCCGCTTGAGATGGTCCGACATCTCCGTGGAACGGCGGCAGCCATATACTCCGTGAATTCAGCGGTGGTGCCTGATCGGAGATTATCGAGGAGAGACATGGTTCCCTTCCCCCATGAGCAGAGACGTAGATGAAGGTCTGCGCAGAGAGCCGACCGAGAGGGATGAGGAAAGGCTGAATCGAGACGCAAAACAACACACAGAAATGAGACTCGGAGGGCCTCCTATACCCCCTCCGGCCCTCCTGCCCCGTTCCTCGCTCGGAGCATCCCAACGCCCGTCGGCCCAGGGGTGCATCGGACGGGTGCCACGCGTCCACTGTAACATCGCGCATCCTCATTCGTACGCATCGTGTAACAACTCGTTGTATATTTAATACTCGTTGTATTCGAGAAACACAAATGAAATGTCACGTAAGACCGCGAGATTGTAATGTTATGGTGGTTGCGACTCTCCCGCGGGCTGCAGCCGTGTGCACATCCCAAGTGTTTTTCGTGCGTTGTTTTTCAATTCAAGGAAACAGCATCGGGAAACCGGTAGCACATATTGCATGAAGGGAGATTTCCGGTTGTGGGTGTGGCTCGCGGGGTGCCAATTTCCGGTTGCCCCGCATTAACGGGTCATTCGCGCGCGTCTCCCTTGGGGCGCCCCTGGCGAGGCCAACCGGGCCTCGGCAGGCACGGGCCGGGCCTCGCAGGCTTGAGCCCGGTGGTCCAAGTCCCCGTCACGCGGGGAGAGTGCTGCGTCATGCGGTCCCCGAGCCAGCTCGAAGAGCCGGAGCTGCGTCAGCCTGCTTCCCGCCCCGGACAGGCTGGCGAGCTCGGTTCCGGGCGGTTCAGTGCAGCACGCGCGGCCCTCGCGTGCAGGGGGCTCGGAGCCCGGTAGCGCTACCGAGGCCACTACCGGGACGCTACCGATTTCGGAAGCGAAATGTATTGGGGGTAAATTTGAATCTAAACTCGTTACAGAGCTTCTCGTGACTTCGTTTTACGTGGTGGCTTTTGGTTTGTTTTGTGAGAAAAGGCCTTACCAAGAGTAACGTGTGATCCTAGCGTCCGAGATTCCGTCTGGTGTCGCTTCAGATCACGAAGGACATTATTAGCGGTAGCCCCACAAACCCGAAACTTTACATAAGTTCTCTTGTTGAGGCGAAATGCTCTCCAAAGGGTCGCAGGAAAAGCGCTAGTGATTCCGTTTGGGGTGGGCGCCTTCTACCTGGTTGTGTAAATCACAAAATACAGTGTCCACGGTGGCACCCCCAGCTCCAAATGTAACGACATTTCTGGTTTTCAATAAAAAGTAGCAAAATTCACTCCGAGCACCAAAAACGTCAGGGTCTGTTCGTGATTTCGAGGGTTGAACTTTCAAAAATGTTAGATTCTCGGGGCTAGCTTTTGAGCTTTCTCCCAACTCAACTCCTGTTAGCTTTCTTTGTTCATGCCGTTGACGGATACTCCCACTCTGGATTTCTCACTACTCCAATTCACTCCTTGTCGCGCGTCGTCTTCACGCCTGGTCTCAGCTGCTCATCCGTACAGTTTCGTACGTGCTTGGCGTGTGGCGATTGCCGGCGTATTTCGCGCCGTACTGCCTAAAACAACGGAAGCATTCGCGAATCACGTTTCGTCTGCGTTGTGGCCCGCAGAATGCTTCCGTCGCTGTTGCGGTAACTGCTTCGCTAGGATGTCGCAAAATCAGGTTCATGCCCACAGGTTCGTTCTTTGAATGGAATGTACCAGCCATCCGAGCTCGACTTATCCCTCGTCGATTATCCTGTCGTAGTTCAGAGGAGCCTAGCGCAGTTTCGCTCATTTCTCTTGTTCTTCCACAGACATCCATCGCGCCGATTTCTTCCGCTGAACAATCCATCCACGTCGGTTTTTTACGCGTGTGGTTTTCTCCACGTGGCAGAATTGATTAACGCGTGCGTTGGGTCTCGAATATGGGCGATCAAGAAGGGATGAACCGTGCGCGTTGCGTCACTCGTGTTACGCGCACGCGGCAGAGCAGATCGACCAGTGCATGGGGTGGTGATGATGAAGGGCGATAAGGAGCTGGTGGGCACGCTGAGGGGCTTCCACGTGTCTCTTCGTCAGCATGGCGCTGGATGACGTCACGTGACCCAGTGGTGAGTGGTTTTCTTTGCAACTTACAACTGTAACTGTTGGTGCTGGATAATGCGATCAAGAAGTCGGTTCAGTGTGCGAGGTGGTTTATGTGCGAGCGTGGCGATGGAAGATTTAACTGAGTAGTGAGTTTTGTGTGAGAGTCGGATGCTGGAGGTGAGGAGGGATGGGGCAAAGGGGGAAGCGCGAGGAATCAGTCCCTCCTCAAACGCCATTGGCATTCAGTCAACGCCTTGCTTCATCACTCTACCCACTTCTCCCCACCTTTACCCACCTTTGCTTGCCTCTACTCGCCTCTATCCACCTCAACTCACCCCTACCCTCCTCTACACTCCCCTACCCTCCTCTACTCACCCCTACCCTCCTCTACACTCCCCTACCCTCCTCTACTCACCCCTACCCTCCTCTACACTCCCCTACCCTCCTCTACTCACCCCTACCCTCAGGGCTTGGTGAAGCGCCCAGGGCTGGTTCTGGAGGGCGTGGGGCAGGTTTGGCAGGACGAGGGGCAGCGTTGGCTTGACAAGGAGCAGGTTTCGCAGGGTGGTGCTGTGGGAACGTGGTGCTGTGGGAGGGGCAGCAGCAGCAGCAGCAGCAGCAGCAGCAGCAGCAGCAGCAGCAGCAGCAGCAGCAGGGGTAGAGGGTGGGGCAGGAGGAGGAGGCACAGTGAGGGCTGCGGGGCAGAGCCTGGGGAGGATATCTGTTCAACACCACACGTGCAGGTTGGTAAGAGCAGCCATGTATACAGGTTGGTAAGAGCAGCCATGTATACAGGCAGACACAACCCTAGTGCACGCAGGAGGGCAGAGGTGACTATTGACTTGTATCATAAGGTAAATCAGCCCAGCCGTTATTTGCATGAGGGTAGCTTGGTGGTTGCTAACAAGTCAGCCCCCTTCCCCTCCCTTCGCCTCCCTGTCCCTCCGTTCCCCACCCTTGGTCTCCCTTCCCACCACCCTTCACCACATGTCCCAGCTCGCGACAGCTGACTCAGAGGTGCTTCCTGGGAACTCTGTTGCGGTTTGCTTGTTCATGTTCATGCACCTGTGAGCATTTTTTTGCATGCCTCTGCTTGGCTGCTGTACCTTTGATTGCGATAAATTGAGTCTTGAATCGCAATATTATGTGGTTCACCTTTTCACCTGTTCAAACCTGTTCACACCCGATCATGCCGATTCACACCTGTCCGTTGTATATGAGCATGTTGCTATGTGCCTGAGTAGGTTATGCCATGTGTGGCATGTCTCGTGGCTTGGTGTGCTGGCATGTGTGGCATGTTGAATGCTTTGATGCGTAGCCATGTGCGCGTGGCCGACAAGTAGCTGGCAAGGCATCTGTGTCCTCCCAGGCGTGCATGCACCCACTGACCCACATTGTCACACCTTGTCCCGCATTGTCTCAGGATCAGTCATTGTCACACCTTATCTCACATTATCACGGGGTGTCACGTATGGTCACACATTGTCACACTTTATCTCACATTGTCACGGGGTGTCACTTATTTGTCTCACCTAATCTCACATTGTCACAAGATGTCACTTATTGTCACACATTGTCAGACATTGACTGCGACTGTCACACTGTCACACAGTATCGCACATTGTCACAGATTTTTACTTATTGTCACACATTGTCACGCGCTGTCTCTCGTTGTCACACTGTCTTTGATTGTCGACACCTTGTCTCTCAGTGTGAGGCATCATTGTCACACATCTGTGACTGATTCCACACATTGGTAAAAGAATATTCACTCATGGTCATACATTGTCTCACAATGGTACACTTTTGTTGGTCATTGTCAGGCAATGTCTCACATTGTCACAAATTGCTCATGCATTTTCTCCCATTGTCACATAACGTCCCTCATTGTCACACTTTGTGTCGCACAATGTCCCCAAGGCACACCTGGATTTCAGTCAGTGACATACATATGCCACCATTGTCACACATATGTCACCATTTGTTACACAAATGTCTCATTCTAACACATATGTCACCATTGTGACACATATGTCACTCATTGTCACTCATATGCCACTCATTGTCACACGTATGTCACCACTGTCACATACCATCACATAATGGGACACACGTTTCTCTTATTTTCTCCCTTTCTCACATGGTGGCATCGATTCACATGATTACACCACACCCTTGAGTTTCCATTAATGCCACTGTTGCATGCTGACGTCCCTTTCTTACAGTTTCACCTGCCTTCCTGATGTTTTTCTCCCTTCTCGTGGCTTTCCTGCCTGGTTTCCTTCCAGCCTCGCTCAAACCAATTACATGCCTGCCTGCCAAGCCCCATACCACTTTGACCTGCCTTACTGCGTCTTTCTGCCTTGGAATTGTGTTGCGAGCAGGTTCTGAAGCAGCTGTGAGAGACAAATGTTGCCGCATGGGGATGGCAGCACAGTGTAGGCTCCACGGTCCACCCCGTGTTGCACAGGTGCCTTTGGCAAGACCCATGCAGAATGCATTTTGCAACGATGTGAAAGTTCAGGATTGAGTTTGCACAACAGAAGACGAATAATACCCTTCCAGACATTTGGATTCATCACAGTGCATCCTTCGATGAGGAATGCTACCAACACAAAAGTAGCTACCGGTACAACAATTATGGAAAAGGCTGTTTGTTTCACTAAAACTTGGTGAACAAAGTCTCATTGTTCTACCAGCAGATAGCCACACTAGTCGTAAGCACCAAATTATGTACATTCTCCTAACATGCTTAGCATGATAGGGATTATACAAGACCTAAACAACTGAAGTGTATATTACAAGACTACTCCAAATCGAATGCTGCCAACCACACAAGTAGCGTTCACTTGCACCCAATGCTCTTCAAACACTCCCTTTGCCACATCTGGGTCTTCACAGCCGCCAGGGGGGCCTCATTGCACCCACCCTTGCCCTCACATTGCCGTTTTGCCCCTCAGATTGTAACACTGCGCCTCAAATATTTTTCATAACACACAGGCACAACCTGCAGGTTTCTCTCCTCCGCAGCAATGGTCTTCACCGCAAAAGCTGCTGCACTGTCTGACTTGGAACCGACTGCTGCTTTTCTTGAGGCTGAATTGTTGTCTGCAAGCAACATTGCTGTGCCTGCAAGCAAAAGAGTTGTGCCAGAAAGCAACAGAGCTGGGCCTGCAAGCAACATTGCTGAGCCTGCAAACAACAGCGCTGCACCGGCAAGCGACAGAGCCGTGCATGCAGTAGGACCCATTGCCACACCCATGCCAGGGTCCACTGCAGCACCCGCATCAGCATTCATCGCAGCACCCACGTCAGCATAAACCGCAGCACCACCCACGTCAGCATCAACCGCAACACCCACGTCAGCATCGACCGCAATACCAACAGCAGCATTCGTTGCAGCACTCACGTCAGCATCAACAGCAACACCCACGTCAGCATCAACCGCAACACCCACATCAGCATCCAGCGAAGCACCCACATCAGCATCAACCGCAACAGCCACGTCAGAATCCTCTGCAGCACCCATGCCAACATCCACCGGAACACCCACGTCAGCAGCCACTCTAGTAGACACCATCGCTGCCGTTCCTGAGCAACCGTTGTCTCCCTTCTTCAAGTTACTGTACACGCCACTGAGCACGTCTCTCGTAACGTTTGCCCAAGCCAAGCCAGAGCTGAACTGCCTGCTGTAGTCGACGTATTCTCCAGTAGTGTAGAGCCTGTGATAAACAACACTCCCCTCAACAGCACTCGTGCTGAAGCTGCTGCCAAGGCTGCTCTCAGTCCGTGAAGACTTATCAAAAGAGTCACCAGCAACGTCAGTAGAATCCCCTTCAGCCTCAGCGAGGCCCTCAGTAGGACCGGAATGATCCACTGAGACCTCAGAGGAGAACCCTGCAGCACCATCAGATGTTTGTGCTGCCACGAAACAGCCCTCAGTAGCCTCAGTTGACTCCTCTGAAGCATAATAGGCGTACCATTCGGCCTCATTCCACACCCCCTCCTCCTCTGCAGCCGAATAGGAAGGTGAGGAGGATAGAGAAGGTTGAATCGGCATCTGTAGAAGTTCAATACGGTTTCTCCAGAAGCTGAGGGCTTCAGAGAAAGTTGGGTAGTCGTTAGCATAAGCCATGAAAGCTAGATAAGGTCTCGCTCGAGATAAGAGCTGAGGTAGAAAACCGAGAATAGCTCAAGATAGCTGGGAGGACACACACTGAAACTGTGGAGAGAAAGTTTGAAAATGACTGGGTCTGGTGTTGAGACTTTCTAGGCGAGCAAAAGCGATGAGCATTACGGAGAGGGAGGAGGGCTGTGGGGAAGAGGAGCAAAGGGGACAGGTTCGGAACGGCAAGACCCGTGGGACTGCTGTAGGTTTGGCATCCTCCGGGACTTTCTGAGTGTTGCGTTGGCATGCTGGCCCGGATCGAAAAAAACAAAAAGGGCAGCAAGCGAAACGAATGGGTTGGCTGATCGACTCTCACGCAGGATTCGAACAAGGTTGCGGCGCGGCAATTTTTTGTTCCGCTGCCCTCTCTGAGATCAATATTTCTGCCTCGGTATGCATACCGAGCCTCCTCGCGGCTCGTTGCCAGAGGGAACGGAGTGCGCGCTCCCAGAGCCGCAATTTTTTTCCCGTGGGCAGAATGTGGAACCACGGATTCAAGGGAAAAAGGCAAATTAATCAGTTTCAACTGCCCGCTTGAGAACGATACAGTAGTAAATCTCTATGGTCCGACATCCCCGTGGAACAGCAGCAGCCATATGCTCCGCGAATTCAGCGGTGGTGCCGGATCGGAGATTATCGAGGAGACTCACAGCCAGCTGTGAATGAAATCGGAGGTAGCTTTGAATCTAAACTTTACAGAGGTTCTCGTGGCTTCGTTTTACGCTGTTTTTTTTAGTTTGTTTTGTGACGAAAAGCCTTACCAAGAGTAACGTGTGATCCGACTCTGTCTGGTGGGGCGCCGCTGCAGATTACGAAGGACAGTACCCGCGGTTGTCCCACAAACCCTAAAATTGACCGAAAGCCTCAGCGGAATTCGGTCGTCGGAGCGGTTTTGCCAGTGTCGACAGGAGGGGTCGTCGGAGCCGGGTCTGACGAGGCGGGCGACTGACGCGCGTGCGGGCCCGCCAGCCTGGCCCAGGGCTGGGCCGAGCGCACGACCGCCGCCCCGCAGCCCCGCTCCGAACGTGAACAGCGACCCACGTTACCGGGTGGGGTCGGCGAACTGGCGACGCCTCGCGCGAGGGAAAGTTACCCTCGCGCGAAGGCAGCCCACACGTGCTGCCTGCCCGCGAGGTCCTAGTAACCCATCGCGGCCTGCCCGGACGGGCAGGCGAGGGCCGTGCGAAAATTCGGGGCCCCCTGGGGACACTCGACAATTTCGCGACCCGTTGCGGTGCCGCCACGTGTTCGCCCGTGGCTTCGCATCGGGCGCATGCGAAATTTCAAACGCTGCGAAATCAAAAACCTCTCGCATCGCGATCCGCTACGAAATCGACACGTGTCGGCCGTAGCGTCGCTCCGCGCGCATGCGAAGTGTGCGTCCCCTCGCCGACCTGGGCCAATGGACGCGAAGTCGACGCCCTGCCAAGGCGGAGACGGGCCACCCGTGCCACTTGCGCATGCGCCCTCCGAGCCCTGCCGAGACAGGCCCCACACTCTTGGGCGATGCTGAACGGGCCTTGGGTGGGGCACCACCTCCATTTCTTGGTGGAAGGTGGCTTCGCTCCTCATTTTCCGCATCTCGTTTCGATTTTCAGACCTTGACAGTTCTGCGCCTCCCCTCTCTCCTACCTTAGCCGTCCGCGTCTTTTGTTAGTCGATAGATATGGAGCCGAGCCCCGACGCCGATAAGTCGGCGCCGACTTCGGCTGACTTTCCCCTTCGTGTGCGAATGGGTCGCGGTCTCAGCTTCACCTTCGAGTGGAACGACTTCGCCGTCCTTCGCGACCATAGGATAGAGTTCAACGAGAGATGCTTGGGACTCGGCATCAGGTGGGACTCGGGTAGTCGCGGTGGTTGAATAGTGTCGATGTCGGCGCCGACTAACTCTAGCTCCGTTGGAAGTCGCATTGTCGCTGTTTGTCATCAGACTTACGTCCGAGTACGCGACAATAGGCATGGTCCCTGTCCAGGGACGTCGGTCGGCAAAGCAAGCGTCGACCACGTACTGTCCGCGTTTGACATACGGTAGACGTCGACCTGGTAGCGTTTGCTCACCAGCCATGTTATCATCCCCCATGCTCACTCGTGCGCTCAGGTTCGCTTGGTTTCGCATTGGGCGGGACGACCAGCGGTAGTGGGTAATCGGAGTCGGCCCGCTTCGATCGGCCATGAAGGCCGCCGACCATTCTTGCTATGCTACGGTTTTCGACGCCGACATCGCCGCTATCCCATTAAGATCGACGTGAGCTGGTTCCCCGTTGTCCAGTTGTCGTTTTGTGTAGTCGGTCGCATCATCGCCTAATGTTGTTGTCGACGCCGCCTTGCATGTGCAGCGGCGGCCCGCTTCCAGGGTCACACTGCAGCGTCATAGCCATCCTCTACCCAGGAGATCTGCTGAAGGCTGAGGGACAGGTCTGCAGGACCTCGATCCGGCACATCGACCCGCATACCGGGAAACTGAAGCACCGCGACGAGGCCGTCCGCGTGCTGAAGTAAGTTGTGAATAGTCGTCGCTTTCTTGCTTGTTAGTCGCCGACACAGGGTATCACATGCTGACCTTTTTCTTTTTACTACGATGCTCCAGGCTATTCCGCACGGCTGTCCTGGCCGAGCTGGGGCGTCCCGGTAGGAAGTGGGACGGGGCGCCGCCATCACAAGCAGTGGTCGAGGACAGGCTTGCCGACTGCGACGACCCTATCCGCGACGTGAGTTGCACGTTAAAGCTCCGCTCTTAACGTTCTGCGCGTATCTGTATGCACCGCTCATATTGTTCCGCGCTTGCCGGTGTTGTATGCAGAAAGTGCCGGGCACAGTGTCGGACGGGCATGTCGGCACCGGCATGCTTGCCGCGACGTCGTTCGGGTGGGTGGCCAAGCAGATCGACCTGCTGACGGGCGACAAGGCTCGAAGTGCGGTGAGCATCGAGAACATCAAGGCAAAGGGTTTGAAGTCGCTCCGTGATAGCATGGTCGAGTACATCTGCAATCGCGTCGCCGAAAAACGAACTGCGGCGCCGACTTCTGGAGGCGTTGGAACCGCCGACAGTGCGATTGATGACGACGGCGCGGAAAGTCAGACGGCGCCCCAAGCAGCAGCTGCCGCCCAGCACCAGGTGGACTTGCCGGTGTCCGGAGGAGGCGACGCCGCGGCAGGTGCAGGAAGGAAGGAAGAGGATTCGGAGTCGTCGGACTCGGAGGGGGAGGAGGAGGACGAGGCGGCGAAAGAAGAGGATCACGAAGAGGAGGAGGAGGAGGAGGAGGACGAGAACGATGAGGTGGTGGAGGTTGAGGAAGGGAAGGATGAGGCGGAGAACGACGAGGAGGGGGTGGAGGCCGAGGTGCAGTACGAGCTGCAGTACGCAGACGGTACGGTTGTGGCGGTGGGGTCCGCGGATGAAAAGAACAAGGAAGCAGAGGATGGCGATGCGGGTAATGCTACGAGGTCGGCAGAAGATGGGGGGAAGGAGAAGAATGAGGTCGGCGCGGAGGCAACGACGGAAAAGGGCCAGGAGGAGGCGGCATGCGAAGGTGCGAAGGTGTCGGTCGACGCCGGCGAAGGTGCGAACATCACGGGCATGCAGGAGACGGAGGAAGCATCTGGTTGGCAGGGCCCTGAACAGGTCGACGTCGAGGTACTGCGACGGGAGAACTGGCTGTTGAGGGCGGAGAACGCTCGGCTGACGGCGTTGCTCGATGAGGAGCAGGCTCGGCTGGACATGTTTTTTGTTGGGTTACGTGGACTCGTCGACCACCTGAAGGAGTTGGCCGAGCAGGTCGACGACACCGACCAGTTTGCGGCGCAACAGCTGCGAAACACGGCGACGGACATGTCGAAGACCATCACGGGCAACATCACCGGCAGCTTCGACGAAGCGTGGAAGACGATGAAGACATTCGCGGAACAGGCGTCGGCGTGGTTGGAGGACTTCGACAATCCGGAGGGTCGTGTGGCATGTGCACGCGCTGAAGCTGTCGACGCCTTGGCCGAGCACGTGAATGGGGTGGTGGGCGAAGCGAGGCGGGGTTTGGAGCTGTACATCACGACGCAACTATCCGCCGCGCAGGTCAACATCGCCACCGCTGTGACCTCCAGGCTCCCCGTGCAGCCGCCGCCACCGCCTCAGCCCACGCCGCCCGCCCTCCCGGAAGAGCTCTTGAAGTCGTTCAAGGCCGACATCATGAAGACGGTGACGGAGGCCACCCAGCAGTCGTTCGTTGCTTCCGGGATGAAGATGTTGACCGAGATGATCGGCACTGTGGCGCATGGTCGACGTGGGTCGTCGCCGTCGGCCAATGACGCAGATCAAGCGCAAAGGAGGGCGGCCGACAAGCAGGGCGAGAAGAGGACGGGCGACGGAGACGACAAGGAGAGCGTGAAGCGGAGCAAGGGATCGGACGGGAGCCGCGGCACGAAGCCTCCTGCTCAGAGCGTGGTCGAACAGCTAAAGTCGAAGGCGGGGTGGAAGGTGATAAGGACGTCGAACAGCAAGGGAGGCGGAAGCGGGGGGGCAGAGGGTGGCCCTGCCGACGGGGTTGCCGCTAACGTCGCTGCACCGCCTGGCCCGCCTTTGGTCGTCGAGCAGACCAAACCGCAAGCGAGCTCCGGGAAAGGCGTGACCGACAAGGAGGCCCCTACTGCTCAGGCGGTGAACGATGGCGGCGCCGGAACCACCAAGGGACCGTCCGTCGCGGTGGCGGCGGCCAAGGGCAACGCGAAGGCCGCCTCTGCCAAGTCGATTCCCCGTAAGCCCCCAGCGGCTACCCCCGCGCCGGCCGGCAAGTCAGGCGCCAACACCACCGATGGGCCGGCCATTGCGGCCCCTCCAGCTCCAGCAGCTCCAGCAGCACCAACTGCCGACAAGGGCGACGCGACGGCTGCTGCGGCTAAGCCCGAAGGTCCGTCACCTGCTAAGGTGCCCGCCGGCAGTAACGCGCTCAGGGAGATGCTCCGCCGCATGGATGCACATCGCAGGGAGGTGCAGCAGCCTCCAGTGGTCGACGCCGCCCTTGCCGAAACAGCACGTCGCTCAGACACTTCACAGGTTGCCGGCAAATCGACCGGTGCCCCACCTGCCGTGCCTCTAGTCGCCGCCCCACCGCCCGCGGAACCCAAATCCGCGTTTCTTCGCGCCCATTTAGGCGCACGCAAAGCGGGAGCTCCACAAGTGACTCAGCCGGAACCCGGCAAAAGCGCGACGCCGACGTCGGTAAACGCGACTTCACCCACACCAGGTGCAGCTGTGGTCGATGCTGCGGCGGAGAAGGGTGTGAGCGCGGCGCTAGCCACCGGCGGCCGAGCCGACAGGCATGCCAACCTCGCTGCCGTTCTGGCTCAATTTGAAGCAGCAAAACGCCCCGAGCATGCCCCAGCACTGGCCATCATGGACATGGCACATGCGGAGCCGTCGGGGACCCACGGAGGGGGTTCGGCGGAGCCGACGGCCGCAACGGCTGCTGTCGCCGAGGGAAATGCGGGACGGAAGGGTAAGGACGACACCGGGAAAGGGAAGGCGGTCTCTCCGAGGAGCACGCGGGCGATGTCGGCGGGGAATGAGATGTCGGAAGAGAAAGGGAAGAAGCCGGCACGGAATCAGGACAAGACGGGCGGCAAACATAAGCCGGCGAAGAGGAAGGCGAAGGCGGAAGAGGAGGAGGAGGAGGAGGAGGAGGAGGGGGAGGAGGAGGAGGAAGAGCATGGACGCCGGGGTCATGGCATCCGCCGAGACAGGTCTGGCGACGGGCTTGGGTGGGTGGGCGAGATCAAGATCAAGGGCCAGAATCGGTACATCGGCAAGTCGCGCGAGAAGATGGAGCTGGCCTACGAGCACGCGATTGCGTACTTGCTCTACGACGGCTACGTGAGCAAGGTGCTCATGAAGGAGCTCACCGCCTTGAAGCCGGGGCAGTTGGATGAATGGAAGGCGGCATGGGAGGAGCTCAGGTTCCTGTCGACCGGGATGTGGACGGTGATGTGGGCCAGAGGCTTGTGCCATCCGAGAGCAAGGTAAGTCGGTTACCGACGTGCCGAGTTCTGTCGACCAAGTCGGTGTCATTACGCTGATGTCGACCAAGTCGTGCTGTTTTAATGTTTTTGCGCGGCAGGTTCGACGATATACTCGGCAGGTACCGTGGGTACGCGAGCTCGGGTGATGCGCTTCATGACATGCTCTGGCCGGCGATATGGTTCCCCATCATCGAAGACACGGAGGCAGGCAAGGCGGAGACAACCGCTCTCTGCGATGGTAAATCGCGTGTCGATGTGCGCGGCGTATGGGAAGGTTGCGGCGAGCGTGGCGTTTGGGAAGGTCGACACGAGCGCGGAGGGGAAGGCGGGTGAGAACGCGGAGATGGAAGGCGCGGAGGGGATGGCGGACGAGAAGACGGAGATGGGGGCCCAGGCGTTAGCGGCATCTGCATGCGCCCTCTGGTGCTACATGTCGACGGGTGCGTCGGTGCTCGGTGCTGTGGGCGAAGGGAAGGCGGCCGCGATGGTGGCAGGTGCAGGGGAGGAGAGGGCCGAGCGCTTCAAGAAGGTCATGCACTTGGTTATCGACTTTGCAAAAAGTCGGAAGGCTCCCGCGGGGGAGGTTGCACATAACGTCGCGCCAGAGCTGCAGCGCTATGGAGTGGCCAGGGCCTTCGAGGCGGGAATTGAGGAAGTCGAGGCCGACATGATCGCAAGAGCGACGGTCGAGACCTTGGCGTTCTGGGGAATGTGCCCCGTCGCCGGGCCCAAGCTCAAAGCGGAGGGCATCGATGTGCCGTGTGACGCGAAGATGGAGTACGATTTGGAGCACAGGGGGAGGAAGGGTGAGAAGGTCAAGCAGGGCAAGGGCAGCAAGAGGAAGAAGACGAAGGCGGAGAAGCAGGCGAAGGACAGTACGGATGCGTAGTCGGCGGACGGATGTGTGCTAGGTTGCTAGGCGCCGATTTCGGCGTAGATTTGATAAATGTTTTCTTCGTAACAAGAATCTTTTTTGCTACAGTTCTATTCGTTTCACTTAGGGGTTGAACAAATCGGTGTCCACATAGAAACATGCTAACCGAATATCACCTGATGAGCCATGTCGGCGCATATGTCGACATGATATGCACATGCTAGTCGGCGAGGGCCGGTGAGAAAATAGAAACATGGTTCTCGGCGGTGAGCTTTGTCGGCAAAACGTCGACATCGAGTTTAGCGACACCTATCGTACTGGGCGACAAACAACATTCAGCGACAACATTCACCGACAAGTAGGGTTCGCAAGGATCTTGATGTGGGTTGTTTACAAACTACCAGAAACAGTATTCGAAGGGGGAGGGGGGGGGGGGGGGGGGGGGGGGGAGGGGGGCGGTTTAAGTCTGCCAAAATCAACAGCATCAAACTACGCAGACACATATCCTAGGAGGGACATCCCGACTTCTTGCGCTTGGTCGGAGGACGCTGCACGGGTGCGGTCGGCTTGGCCGGTGCGGTCGGCTTCGCCAGGTCGGCCTTGGTCTTCGGCATCTGCTCCTCCCAGGTGTCTGGAAACAGACCGGTGAGCCAATCACTCGGCTTCAGGTTGAGCGCCACAAGCGCACAGGCGAGGCGAAGCTTCGAGACCACCTTGGGGCCCAGCCCCTTGACTCCCATGCCAGGCTCTTTGGACAACATCGGTGCCGTTTTCGGGTTGAGCACCGTGAGGGCGTCACAGAAGGTCCCAATGCCCGGTGCCGCGATCCTGTTCAGTGCGTCGACCACGGCCTCGGTGTCGGCGTCGCCGTCGCTCGCGCGTAGCTGGCGCACCGCATCCATGGCCTTCATCATGCGGCGCACCTTCATGTCGAGCCCACCCTGCGTCGCGCCCTTTCCTGTGAGGAGGGTGTGGCGGGCGACGAATCCCTGCTCGGAGACCCTGTCGCAGAGGCGACGGGTGTCATTGGCGGTGGCGGAGTTCCATAGGCGCCAAGCGTCCCTCACAGTCTTTGCCTCCCGCCACGGTTGCACCACGTTGAGCTCGTAACTAGCCTCCTCGTCCGTCTGTGGGGGTGGCGGGGGTTTGTCATCCCCTCTCTTGGCTCCAGCCCCCGTGCTGGCCGAATCCGCCGAGCCACCCTCGCTGGGAGCTTGCACGGGCGCCGACGGCGGGGCCTCAGGCACTCTCCGTGCTTCCGACAAGCTGAGTGCCTCGGTGAGACGGGCTACCTCGGCGGTGAGTGCCGCGATGGTGTCGTCGCGCTTCTCGATCTCCTCTAGTCTGGAGGTCAATCTTCTCGTTTGCGGCGCGCTCCATCTCCTTCTTCAGCTGCACCTTGAGGGACATGTTGTAGTACTCGGTGTCCATGCGGACCGAGATTTCCTGCAGCGGTAAGACAAAGACGTTAGGGGCGCAGTGGTTTGGTTTACACTCGTCGGCGACAGTATCGTCGACTTACCTCTGGCTGTATTTGGGTCGGGTCGCGACGCTTGTTGATCGTCTCGGTGTCGACGCTCTCCACCCGTTTCGCCCAGTGCTGGAAGAGGGGGATCCGGCAGAGCTTGGAACCATGCACATACGGGTGCCATGGTGTGCGGACCAGCTTCACCGCTAGATCCTCGGCGACGATGCGGCGCAGCATCAGGAGAGTGCGCCAGAAGTGCACCGCGGCTTTGTCGGCGTCGGACCCCTCGGCAGCCTTCCCTTCCGCCTGCGATTTGTCACGTGTACGCGGATTTCAGACAAGGTCGGCAACACGACTCGACAACAAGGCTACGAGGACGACCAGACTAACATACCTTCTTCAGCATGTCGTCGACGCCGGGGAATATGTGCTCGGCGAGGAGCTTCAGGAGCTTCTCGGAGGGCGGCACCCTGCTCCGACCCAAGAAGTAGTCCTGCTTGTAACCAGAGTAGCCGGCCTTCTTTATCACCACCCCCACCGGAATGGCAGTGATGTACGCACGCGTCATCTTGTCTAGCGCCCAGTGACCAAGCTCCGCGATCTCGGCGCGCGGCGTGCCGTCGATGGCCAGCTCCTGGGCCCCTCCCGCTCGAGCGGCGTGCACGTTCCTCTTGCAGAACACCTTGTTGGTGTCCCACAACTGCCGCGTCCAGCGTTGGTGGCTCGCCGCCGAAAGCTCCTCTTGGTCGGTGTCGTTTTTGGCGAAGAAAAGGTGCTTCTTGTACCAGCTCGCGCGTGTGCTGGTGTCGACCGGCGGAATGAGGCGGACGCCGTGAAACTGGCCGATCTGGTCGAGGATGAAGTGCAACCACAGGCCGGTCTCGCCGACGGCGCACAACTCCGCTTCGAGGTGCCGCGCCGCGTAGCTCTGCTGCAGACGCGCATCCTTGGAGGTCTTCGAGTTCCGCGCAGCGATGACCATGACGACCGGCTGGTTCTCCGGGTTCACCGACGAGGTGCTCGCCAGTCGGTACAAGAAGATGTCGGGGAGCGTGATCTCGCGGATGCTTGCACCGCGCAGGAGGCTGTGGTGGGAGAGAAGCGTGAGCACCTTGATGAGCAGAAACCTCCACAGTGTCTGCGAAGGAGCCGTTCCACGCGGGTTCCACGCCTTCGCCGCCCACGTCGGCAGCACCCTCATCATGATTTGCCAAAACTGTTCGGCGGTGTATGTATCAGGGCCATTCAGGGCGGCGTCGACATCAGAGTGTGGACGACAAAGATTGAACCTGCACTTACTTGATGTCCCGCTCGTTCTTGGTGCGGATCATGAACCGCACCTCCGACCTGACCACCGATATCTCCCGCATGATGCTCAGCTCCGTCTCCCGGTAGAGCGTCGCCTCCACTCTCGCCGCCATCTGGCATGCCTTTATGCGCCCGAGGAGCGTGTGCACTGTTGTAGAGTGCACAGGCTGGATTCGCGCGGCGTTGTCCCCCTCCTCGGTGGACTCGGCATCGAGCTTACACTCACGCACCATAAACTTCACGTATGCGCGAAGCCGGGTGATGGTAACCCTTGGGCCGTGCAGCCACACGTACGCCCGGGGGACATCGGCCTCCTGGTCCCAATTCTTCTTCTTGTTGTCCCGGATGTAGTGGCCTATCTCGTCGACGTGCTTAAGCCTGTGCTCCTGGGGAAGTTTGCCGCCTATCTGCCTCAACATCTTCGCCGCCCACCTCTTGTAGTGGTATATCCAGGAGGTGTACTGCCTCAGCGTGCTGTTCTTCTCCAGGGTTTGCAGGTGGCGTAGTGCGTGCATGACGAGCACGTCGATGCACGTGTACACCATATGTCTTCCTCGACGAAGTCTGCCGCCCTCCACTGTTCGCGCGGCACCGACATGTTCTCCTGGTCCGCGTCCTCGTCCTGTTCGAGCAGTTCATCTATGAATTCAAGCTCCCGCCTGAGTCGTTCGTCCAAGGTGCGCGGATTAGTGCTACGGGGTGGCCGCTCGTCGTATTCGTCATCGCTTTCCTCCTCCTCCTCCTCCTCCTCCTCCTCGTCGTCATCAACTTGGTTTCCAGAGCCGGCATGTGCCGACGACGTTCCTGGCTGTCCATTTCGTGCAGGCTGCTGTTTTTTTTTCCTGTTGAACTCCCCGACCGGCGGTGGGGGAATGTCCCTGGTGAACTCCCCTTCTGGAATCTGCGTTAGCTTGTCAAGATCGTAGAGTAACGGGAGCGTCTCTTCGTCGGTAGATGTAGGATTGTGGTCGGTGGGGGGACTAGCGTCGGGCATGTCGACGTCGGCCATGTCGGCCATGATTGCGCTATCGTCGTCCGTGTGCGATGCGGAGGTTGTTAAACCAGAGACGGTACTGAGTCACGGGTGCGAAATAACGGTCTTCTTCGAATTCTCGCTCAATAGCGTCTAACTCGGCTTCGACCTCAAGACGTTCCAGCTCCGCTTTGATGTCGTCGTCTACTGAGTCGGCGGGAGGTGGGATGGATTGCGGCTGTTGGGCTCTAGGACGACCTCTGGCCATGCGTCGCCGACTTGCTAGGTCAGCCAAGATGTCGATAGTAAGCCCCGATGTTGCCCTAAAACGTCCGATGTCGACGTCGACAAGTATTGACCTCTATTTTACCTACACACTGACAGGATTGTTAGCGACCACGTAGAAGCAACCTGTGCCGACGGGATCGATTAGTCGGCAGCCGACAAACCTATAATCGCGAAGAAAGACAGGTAGCGGAGAGCAGGAAGGAAAGCAGGAACTGACAAGGGAATGAGCACAAGCGGAGGGTCACGAAGGAGTACGGTCCCGAGCGTCTCCGAAGCGGCAGCGCTTCACGCAACCCCCTATGCTGCTGCCGCTATGCATGCGGTCTCCTGCGGCGGCGCAGTGTCCGACGTGTCACGTGCCAAGCATGGCTGCTGGGACGCCGCGCTGCACCCAAGGGGCATAAGCCTGGGCCATTCCACGAGGGAATGGGCGTGTGTGACGTGGCGTGGGCCCGACATTGGCGCCTCAGAGCGGAAATAACGGCATGCCGACTTCCATCTCCCAGGGGCCCTGGATTACTGCGGGGCCGCGTGGCAACCCTACCGCGATCGCCTGGTGATCGGCGCTGATTACCCGTCGGCGCGCTAATTTGTGTGGTTAGGTTCATTGAACGTGGACACTATTGTGACTGTGCCGCGTGGCTCGGTTGTGGACCGTTGGATGACTTGGTCGACACCGACCAAACTTGACGGTCCGATCTGTGCCGCGTGGATCGAGCACCGACAATTTTGGCGGGAGCGTCGACTTCCCGCGCGTAACACTCACCGCCGGAGCGACGCGTGGCCACGACGTGAGCGTCGTGACAGTCTTGTCATCGTGGGGGACCTCCTGGCTCGTCCCTATTGGGCCGCGTGGCAGCAGTCGCGGCTCGACGTGGCGAGCTTTCCTATTTTGTCCGCTGAGATTTCCTTCTCAGGAATCTCCCAGCGGAAACGGAGGTCGTCAGATTGTCGACAATCCCGAGGGCTCCCGTGGAC